TAATCACTATTTTTATTACGTTTTTTGTTAAATTGTATCATTTCGTACAAAAAAATTATTTTAAACATATCTATTAATTCATTATAATATTTAATAATATTAACATTACATGACGTCTATATAACCTGTACTTTCAAATAATTGTTGAGCAGAAACGGATAAATGTGAAAGGTATTATTATATTTTTAAAACAATATTGATTTTGATGCACTAAGGTAGCAACAAGTAATGAAAAAGTTGTTACTCACGCATAACTGTAGTAGATAATATAATAATTGTACAATTTTTGATATTTGAGTATAATTTATTAAAAATATAAAAATAATAAAACAAATTGATGTTGCATTGATTGTCAGATTAGTTAGATTGAAACTAATGTTTTGATATTTATAGGTTATTTGTATTTTTATGCAACTAATAATTCAATGAATGAAGTTTTTGATATCAATTTATTATTATAATGGTCCAAAGCAACTTGAATTTGATATGTTCATTTACTTGTTTAAGAAATCATTCGGTTAGGTTTATGTAAATTCGATAGTTTTATATACGCATCTGTTTGAAAATCGGTGAAAACTTTAATGAAGTAAAACATTTTCTCAAATATCGAAACTTATACGATTATTCTTTCTATAATACATATTATCTTATAATAATTTATTTTGATTTTAGTGTAAATTACATTTCCTATTTTTTACTACTCAAGGCGGTGAAAATTACATAATTTTAATTTAGTGCTAAGTACAAATTCCCTTTAGTTCAATTACTTTAGTAATAACTAGATTCTTGTAACAATAATAGTATAATTAGGTATTTATTTTTATATAGTATTGTGTCATGATTATATTTAGTTAGATAAATTTATCTAGATAAATTACATAATTAGTATCACACTGCCATCTAAGATAGAAAACTAAGTCATTTTAATGAATGTATCCAGATTGTTCACGAGACATGAACATCATATTTTCGGATATTATCATAAAAATTGTTTATGAATTATGATGTTAACATTTTATGAGCCGATAACTATTCTGCTATTCACGAGAGAACGGTACCTACCGTTTCGTGCATGTACATGTAGAATGAGCTCTTTCCGTTTCGTCAAGCTAAAAAATCCCTTCTTCCCAGTTCATTATTACCGATAATTAACGACAATTACCGACCTGATTGTTCAGTCACTATGTATAACAAGAGCATGTTGCCGATAGAAAACGACGAGCGACGACCGCGATCCGAGCAACGTGTCAATTTCGTGGTTTTAGGTAAGGGATGCGCGGCGGCAACCAATTTTGGTCGGAGCACGATACCGTTCTCTGGTTCTCTCGTGAATAGCACTATAATAACAATAACAATAATTTTAGGTTCTTACTATATTATACTATAGATTATAATTATATTTTCTAAATAACTTGTGCTATATTATATAGGTAATAAACCTATAGCACAGAACAATATAGAAACGACACTCAATCAGCTGGGCGGTCTACTGTATCCCTACGGTATGAAGTATTGGATTCTAAAAATTAAAACCGTATCCGTAATCTGACTAGATGTTGGTAATGTGCATCCCCTATTTATTACGATATTATAAAAACAGAAACAATCCATTGCCCACGTGATTTTCGCGTGTTTTATGTAAACAAACATTGCTAGAAACGAGCAAATTTAAAATTGCAATAGTTGCATTTTTTTATTATTATTCAGTGTTTTTTCAACAGTTTCCACTGATTCTGAACAATAAATTATTCAGCGATAATATTGATATTATTTATTTAAGTGATAACGTATACCGCGCCCCCTGGAGACCGTGTTCAAGGCCAATGTTGCCCGATTTGGTTCATATGAGACAGTGTCTATACCCTGCCTATAATAGTGTAATGGTTTTTATATTTTTAGGAAAACAATAAATACAATACAATAAAATTGATGTTTGATAAAAATCGTGATATTATAATATTGTAGATACAATGTATGGTTTCGTAAATCGTATATTTATTTAGGTACCCAATTATTGTTGTCGCTAACGTGTACCGTTTCAAAAAATTAATAATTAAATCGTTGATCGTCGACAACAGATAATAATACAGATATTAAATAATCTAAGACTGAAAATAAAGTGTTAGTTATGGAAATAGTGGTATTATTATAGTATTATAATAGTTTAAAAATACTAGGTAATGGTTAATATGAATAAACCACTAGTTTCACTCCTCGCTGGCTAATAACCTGGCCTAAACCAGTAACCGCTGAAAGTTACAATTATTTCATTTATTTATTTATTTATTCATTACTCATAGAAAAGGTACCATAACAAAGTGATAATCATTTTAATTTTCAATTATTAACAGATTTATGTATAGTTTTAATTTTTTTTTCCTTTTTTTTTTTTTTAGTTTGAAAACTATTTTAAAAATATAATAAAATATATGTATGTATATAATAATTCAAGATAATAGTTTTATATATATTTATACAAAGTATTCTGCTTCCCAATTGGTCTCTATATCTACAACTAGTCTTCCTTTTCAGAAAATGATTTAAGTATTGACACTGTTGTTGGCATGATCATTTAAATTATTAAGCATATTTTTCAAATAATTATTAGTGATTTAAACTAAAATATATAGCCATATTTGTATTAATATTTAACAAAATCATGTATTAAGAATAAGATTTTTAAAAAATTTAAAAAAAATTATCTCATTTCTATCTAGATTAAATTGATTTTATCTGCATCTATATCTAGATACAAAAAAATTATCTAAGCGCAACACTGTTTTTAAAGTACCTACTTATCTATATAAAATATAATTATTAATAGTTTTTATATTTGCAGGGATATTTACTATTATGTTTGGTGTTTTGATAAAAATTCTTTGTAAAATTTTTTATTATATTTACAATTTAATAGTGTTAACTTGTTGAGCGTATTTCTTAGCTTTTAGATTTATCGTAGTCTGTGGGTGTCCATAGATGCTTATTATTAAAATTAATAAATTTGATCCAGTGAATCCAGAATCTAATAGTTGTGAACAAGTAGGCTAACACTTTCTTTATCTGTTTAATAAAATAAACCGATTTTTATTATAAGGGGAAATCTACATCGGTATGAGTCGTCTAATTTCTTATTTCTCCTAGAAAACGGAGTACCTACCTATCTATAATATTAAATATATTAACTCTATTATGTTTATAAAATGTAGTTTATTAAAAAGGTAGGTAGCGTTATTATGTATAAATTATGGTTAATGGAATTAATAACTTAAAAAATATTTTAGTCTTGATATTTTGAATTCGTATACTACAATATTCAATAATAATATAGTGTCACAGAAAATCAATTAACAATTTTAAAACAATTTGCAAACCAGAAATACATATCACTAATTATTAAAAAGTACCTGTTCTATTAAAATTGTTTACAACTCCATAACCCCATATGGCCATAAATACATGTCTGAATTCGATACTTTAAATCAAAATACTTATTTATGTTTTTTTTTTCATTTACAAATAATTATAGATAAGCCCTGCGTTAAATCTACATTTTGATTTTTTTTTTTAGTTTTTTATTATTTATTTAGAATTATCTCGTAGCTTTAAAAGCTAATTCATACAAATTATATCCTTATAAAATTCACATTTCTATAAAATAAACTAAAAATGTAGATGATTATTGATTAATAAAGTATTTTAGAATTTAATCAAATTCAAAATCATTGTTGTTTACCCAGTTATTATTAATAACCTAATCAAGATTTAAACTCTATACCATATATTTAATTAAAAATATATAGCCAAAATATATCATTGACTATATAATGATTTAAATTAACTTTTAATTTTTTTTAACAGATAGGTACTATATGCTATATCCAGTTGATATCTTATTGATTGACTGCGTACTTATCAACACCTACTTCAATATTTTAAAATTTATTTTTTTCTTCTTTTTTTTAATAATTTTTATTTTTTTAAATTCACTGACACCTTATTTTCACCTCGTTTTATTCAAATTTTAATAATATTACACAATAGTCAATAAACATTATACACATGAGTTGAACGTTTTAAATGGTAAATATATTAAAATTACTTAGTCATCAATCAAAGCAATTTATTTCAATCAAAAAAAAAAAAAAAATTTTATATGAATATATATGATTTATTAAAAAAAATATGTATCTATGTACCATTTTATATACATTTATTATATACGAATGTAAGATTTACCTATGAACATATTATTTTACTATCTACTTTTTAATAACATTTATTGAATGTTCTTCGAGTTTATGTAATTTTAAGTTTAATTTTGAAATTAAATATTCAATTCAAAGTTTTGCTAGTAGCTTTTAATTTAATTTAAAAATATATAAATATTGGACCTGTGACAGTTAACAGCCTAATTTAAAGCTACGAGCTATTCTCTCAAATAATTATTCATAGTAAAAAAATAAATGATATAAATTTACAAATTACAATAGTATTATATTTGTATTTTTATGTCAAGAAGCACGTAACCGTAACATATATTCGTAGTCAATTAATTTGGCATTTTTTTAAAATCCTTATTAAGTGATATTTTAGTCGAAAAACCGGATTTCGACGAACTAAGCGTAAACTTTATTTGCTATTCCAGTTAATAATTTTATTATAATATTTGAGTAGTTAAAATTACTCAAATAATTTGTAATTAAGTTAATCACCAAATAATATGTACAATTAACCCAGAAATTTAAGTACAAAAAATGAAATACGAAATTGGATTGTTTTATTAACGTATATAAACATATTCTTTAATACATATTTTAGTGTAATATAAATATTATATATGTGAATTATTGAAACAATTATATTACTATTAGTTATTAATTGATCATTTTAGGTAAATGTTACCTCAATGCATGGTGAACTCCAGTACAAAGGATATCCATATAATTCAAATATTGCTCAATACAAAATCCTATATAATATAGTTATAGTATTTTATTTTTATTAATTTAAAATTTATACCTAAATAGTTTAAATTATAACATTAAATCGTTAATAATGGTCAGCAAGTGTAGTTTAGTTGGATGCAGGAGCCGATACATGAAAAAAAAAGTGAAAATGCATAGGTAATTATCCAATTTATACAAACTCTAAATGTTTGAAGTCAATTTTCTTTGTTGTCGATTTTTGATAATCAATACATTTTTATCATTTTATTTAGATTTCCACTTACAAATCTAAACATTTTGCCTTCGTGGATAGCTTTTATGAGAAAGGAAGCTCACTGGAAGCCTAAAAGAAGCAGCAGATTATGTTCCAATCATTTTATCGAGTCTGATTATAAATTCAAACATGGAAAAGGTGTTTTAAACCCGACATCGGTCCCATCCATTGAATACCGAGTTAAAGTTCCGGTAAAATTCCTGTACTTAATATTTAAGTATAAATAATTAAATTATTAATACTTTAAAAGAATTGGTTTTTAGTATTTACCTACTAATTCTTATTTGCTAGTATTGAAACTTAAAATTTAATTAAATATTAGAAATTTTAATATGATTATTTTATAAATGTTATACAGTAGTTATTAGATAATATACTCGGGTATTAAAATTATTTTTACAATTCTATCATAAACAAGTACCTACACTGTTTCTACTTACTACACTTTTTTATTTTTCAACCTTTGAGTGTTAATAATAAATTATTATTATAAATTAACGTTTTAATACATAGTTGAAAACATTTTATAATAATGACTACTTTATATTGGATTGTTGCTACTGAGATAGTTAGATCATAGAATAATTGAAATTTAATTTACGTGTTCTGTGCTTAAATTAAGACTTTTTCTAGATTAAAAAATAAATATTCAATACTTTTATAATAACAATTGTTATTCTTTATAAAAACAATGAAAAAAATTAATGAATTAATGAGTAGAACTGTTCAACAAGGTATTTGGGTATTCTTCTAAATTTTATTTGCCTTCTTTTGAAAATAATAGTGCCATTTTTGTAGTTAGATGTTTTAGTTGCTTAAAAGCTTTTATTTTTTTTTTTTTTTTTAAGTGAAAAGTTTATTATAGCCATATAGTAATTGCGATTAGGATAACAAAAGAAAAAAAATATATTGATAGGTACCTACCTATAATTATATTTATTTATTTAATTAATAGATCTATGAAATGTTAACTTACTTGGATATTATAATTTATTTGATGTAATAAACGCTTTTAAAATAGCATTTATACTACGTATTTATTATGCAACTTGATTTTTCTATATATTCAAAATAAATTATTAACGCTTGATTAATATTTTACCTACTATAATATGTTACTTGTTTGTACTTAAATTGAGCGTTCCTTTCTGAAATGAATCCAAAAACTGAAAGCCTACAGAGCAGATAAATATACAATTATTAAAGATTCACTTTATATATAAATAATTTATAATTATATGCAAACACATGTATAATTAAAATAACGAGAACTCTTACTGATATAGTGATGACCAATAACTTAGATAGAAATTTGTTTTTTTAATAGTAACCCAACGTGTAAGGTAATATAAACTAATTATTGTTATTGTTTAAATAGTACTTATACCATTACCATACCTATCATACTTATCACAAGCAGTGGCGTCCCAAGATTTTGAAATTTGGCGGTGGTGGGGGGGAAGTGGAAAGAAGATTCGGATTTATACTATTATAGGCCCTAGACTAGAGGTTCTCAAACTATGGGTCGCGATCACATTTTTAATGGAACGCCTTATATTTTTAAATAATACAATTTTTTAGACATATGGTCATTGAAATCAAAAAAGAAAGGTCATCAGGTAAAAAAAGTTTGGCCCAATAAAATCTTTTTTTTTAATTTGGAAAAGCACACATAGAAAACAAAAAAAAAATGTTATCAAATAAAAAACTAGCTACACTTACAATTTTTTTTGATCCAAAGAAGGAGCTTTAACTCTTATCCGTGGGTAGGTCACAAGTAGCTTGTGATACCTGTTTTTTGCTATATCAAAAATGTTACATACTCTTTTTATAGCACATTTTGTCATATTGATCTTCTAATACTATATTATCTTTTACTATACTAATACTAAATTCCAGTATATGATACTAGAATTTAATAATTTACAGTACCTATTACATATTATTCAATTACCTAATATAGGTACTTAGTAGATTTGATTAAAGTATAATGTATATATATATATATATATATATATATATATATATATATATATATAAGTGATATATATCACTTATATCTTATATTATTGTGTTCAAAAGTTTCGTTTTAATAATTACATTTTGTGGTGAAGTAGTGTGAATATCATAATGCTATTATATACAATAATATAATATTATAAATATTTATTTGTTTAGCAATTCAAAAGAAGAAACGTTCAATTACATCCAAGTCTTAATAAACGTTTTAATCAAACTAAGAATGTAAATAAAATCAATGACGAGAACGTGGTAATATTTTATATAAATACAGATTTTTATTAAACAATTAATTATAATTGATATAAAAATTTTAATCTAGGTACAAGAACGTGAAACAAGTTATAATTTAGGTATACTACAAAGACTAATTTATGATGATTGTACAACTGATAATAGGTACTAATAATTAAATATATTATTATTTATATTAAATAGCATTATATCAAGGATATTGGCATGTGAAAGTAAAAAAAAACCAAAAACCCATAGAAAATATCAAGTATTATGGTTCTTCTAACTTTGATGATAATGAATATCAAAAAGAAAATGAAAATAGTGACAATGAGACAATGGAATATAAATCTGAATTTAATTCATGTCATCAAAATAAAAATGATGTTTGTAACAGAAAAAATCAATGGTACACTTTTTATATTGTTTAATCTATTAAAATGAAAAATAAATTAAACCATAATATGTCCATATTATCTATTATTAAAGTAAAAATAAATTTATTTTACAGTTACCTGTTGACAAAAAGTTTTATTGCAAATCTTGAACCAAGGATGTCAACACATCCAGCTTTCAAAGAATTTGAGCAAATACCCAATAGCAGGGTAAGACTTAAACGATAAACATATTATTATTATTAAACAATTTGTCACAAATCAAAATACAATAATATAAAAAAAATATATAACCAAGAAAATTAGTTCATTTTGTAATTTACCTTATTGTTAATACTTATAAATGTATTTAAAATTTAAACACTTCAAAACATGTATGTATTACATAGGTAATCGTAAACAAAATGTTTCAGAATAATTCCACATTCATAAGTAATTATACAGAAAGCATGGATTCTAATATTTTGAAGTCTCCAACAGAAAATCAAAACAGATTGTTTGTGGTAAATATAACTAATTTAATTATAACAGTATCAGTATAAGAATATATCCTAATATTCCATAAATACATATAATATAAAATGTTATAAATACCTTAACTATTTTCTATTAACATTTAATATGAATTTCTCAATGTGGTCAATACTATTTCAGGATATTGAGAAACAAAAAAGAGATTTAATTTTCAATAATATCATGAAATTAATATTAAATAAACAAAGATGTACTAAAGACATTTATTCACTTTATTTCAATTCGCCAAAAATAAGAAGTACATTTTCACCAGAACAAGGTATAAATTTTCTGAATGATGATATGGCTACGATGAAACAGTTTCATATAGGCTATAACTAAAATAAATGTTATCCTTTTTAAAAACTTTATGAACTTATAACACATATAATTCAAAACATTTTGATGCAATCATAAGTACAAATTTTAAATTTATTTTAATGCAAACATAATATGTTTAATCACTAATCATAATGTTTTATAATTAGATTCATAATTTATTGGTATTTATGTTTACGTAACTCTTTTTATTTGCACTATACTCCAAAACTAATCCAGCCATTTTGTACCTGATTCTAACATTGTTCACCTTTTTTATTGTTGTTATTATTATTATTATTAAAGTTTTTCTAACTAATGTGAATGTAAATTTTTAATTTATATTATTTAGCATTAAATAATTATGTAACTACATAATTAAATCATGAGAATTTAAAATTTATGGATTGCAATTATACACAAGGACTTTTTACAATGTTTCTTAATTTTTTTATTATTATTATTATTGTTTACTTATTTATTACCAAAAACGTCTCATTTTCTTATAGATCATCGTGTCATTATGTTATAATTGTATTTTATAAAACAGTATATACTTTAATAAATGATACCATTTTATGTAATATTGTAATATAATTGCATACATTTATAAAATAAAAAAATTTTTGAATACGTTTTAATGAATATACAAAAAAATTTTAGTCCAATATGATTATAAAAGAAAAAAAATTAATTAATTTTAATTAACACACAATAATATACATGAATTTATCTTATAGACTAACGTTCTCTACAACTGATACACATCAAAAGTAGAGTACTTATAGTACTATTTCTATTTTCTACAACCATTAGTAAGAATTGACGAGAACAACCGTCAATGGCTTGTTTTTCATTGTCCTAACATCAACTCACATTTTCTTCACTAGTTTTCATCTACCTACCTATATCTTTTTTTTTTCAATATGTATTTCTGTGTATCTTTAATCTTTATACCCGAACTCGGGTTATTATTATTTAAATATCGGATATGGCTATAAAATTAACTATTTTTTCTTATTATTAAAAGATTATTTATTATATTTTATGATTGTCGAACCCATCATAATACAAAATAATGAAACTTTAACATAATTTATATCTAATTATCAATATAAATAACTATTTTTAACATTATCCTAGTTAATTGGGTTAAGGAAAAATATTTTATTTTATTATTCATATTACACCAAACGGCATTTATAAAGTTATAGTCAGATTTGAAAAAACAAAAAAAAAAAACAAAAACATTATTCTAATTAATTAAGTCATGCTATAAAAAATTTAGTGTATGGACTTTTAATAACTTTTTTATTTCATTTGGACTTCAATGATACCTCGCGATAGTATAGGAGAACCTTAATATTGGAATATTTTAATTACGATAATAGTATTAGCATGGTTAGACAAAATAGTAGATGTATATACTTACCAGTATAGGTATGTACGTTTATGGTATTAGAGTATAGATATTTTACAACGATGTTAGAATAAATTATATTAAATGAATATAATACAGAGACAAGATAAACTAAAACCTTAAGTAAAATTAAAATAAGATCTACACTCACTTTATAACAACATAATGCATATAAAATAAAAGATTTTTTAAACGGGCTTACAGGATACGGGATCAAAGGTTAGTCGAATATACCTATACTAAATCATGTTTTATCGTGGCATTTAAGAGAGCTGCGTGCTTGCTTGCTTTCTACGCATTACATTTAGATACTTACTAGAAGGCATAGCATATTACCAAATAATTTGACGTTTTAAATCAACTTAAAATTGAATTGCGTCACGTACATCGAAGTTCGAAGTCGATACCTTCTCAATCACGTATATCAATACTACGAGCGAAACAAGTGAATTCTTATACATCATGTGTATTTACACAACGATTAAATGCATTTAGAAAGTACCAATTGAACACTGAATAATATACAATAGTAGAATAACTTTACACGTTACCTTTCAGAATAATGAAATCGCACTACTAAGAATTAAACTACTTCAATACCGTAACCAAGATGCATATGGCATAAACACCTGTAGTTCGCCATACATTCATATTTCAATTCGTACACATACGCTACTCTCTGGTAATTCACTACACCATTTAAAACATGTTGAACAGCAGCGAGGGTCATTGAGGAATCTTATTTTTTTAAAAGAACAAAACACGGCTCCCCTCATCTGGAATGTCACCTTACACGTTTTGGCAGATATTTGACCTTACGAAACGTGTTTTACAAATTTTACCCCTGCTATACTTGTATTGGCTGGCTATATCTTATATAATCCTTGTGGCTCGTACCTATGATTACTCTTCCTTCGTATTTGTATAGAATACACGTATCTGCTTAAAAGAGAAATTACTGATAATTTCTACTTTTAACTAACCTACGAATAAACTAGATACGATTTGCTATCATAAACTTTGTTGATCAGAAAGCTGATTATCGAAACATTTTTTCTACCAAAAAAAAAAGTGTTTAATATGAAAAAAAATTAAAACACTTCAATGTAAAATTAAGACATTAATCGTACCACCCAGAGTTTAATAATATACAATTTGGTAAAACGTATAACATACAAATATATATGTAATATGATTGAAAAATTCTACATTTATGATTAATGGACATTTTGAAAATTAGACAAATTAAAGATTAAACTGATTAAAGGCTATAAAATATTTTTAATTATTTTGATATTGATTTTTTTTTTTAAATCGGTCGTAATACATTACATAACCTGTACCAATATACATTTACGTAAAAATTCGCATTGTGTTAGCAACATAAAATACTACAAAACAATTCTGTATTATCATGATCATAATAAAACTATTATTAAGACCACTAATCAACACACCATACAACATTTATATTATGTAATAAAAAACAAATTTAGATACCTATAATAAACTTATAAATCAATTTGATACTGGCTCTAACTTATCTTTATTTAATCATTGTATCATAGATATTATTATTTTAACTGTAGGTATATTAAATTTTAATATAATTTCAATTGATAAGCACCTACATCGATAATAGATTTAGATTGAGTATAAATACCAACTGTACAGCAAAGCGGTATAACCCACTTGCCCACCTCTTTTTATTTGCATAATAAAATGTATCATAAGTGTTATACTTGATACAAAGAATTATTTTTAAACAACTTTAAAATTAAATAATTCCACATTTACTATAAGTTTTTTAAATATTATTTACAATTTAAAATAATAATAATTATAAATAAGATTAAAGTCAATTATTATTATTTAATGGAATTTAATTGGTAGCTGTAAATGTATTATAGTAAAATTAATGAAATAAATGAATGCTCAACCTATTATACAAAAATACTTTTACATTATGTAAAAGCATTGCTTTCGATTGAATATTTAAAATTGTTTCTGGTGGTAGGAGTACTAACAATTTTCAAAACTAACATTGTATAGATGATATTGACATTAGAAAATATTTATTAACAGTTTATTAATAGATATTAAAAAATCATTGTTGGCTTTAAAATTTAGTAGATATATTTAATTTTAAACGATTTTTACAATTTTAAAGTTAAATTTTAAATTTAGTTGTCTTTTTTTTTTACTTAGCTTATCCAAAATGCCAAGCGGTGAGATACAATCTTTACTGTAAATATACAACATTGCCAATCCGTTAAGTATATTTAAAAAAAAAAGAAATCGTAAATTTTACAAAAATAAATAAATAGTTAATTTAATAAAATCTAAATACTTACTTCAGAATTAGTATTATTATGTGAGTACGTTTTAATTTTTTAATTTTGATAATGTTCTTTCACTTGACGCAGTCTATTCTAACATTGTTATTAGAATACAAAGTTATTTGAATAAGCTAGGATACATATCTTTATTGCATGTACTCAATGCATCAATTACGTTTTTTGGCTTGTCACTCATGCTTTTTAATTTTCTCTGCCATAACTTGAACTCTCAAATTACAAATGAACTAGGTGAAACAAATTCTTCTTTATTTGTATCAATTAATCTTATAAAACATCTTTTTTTGGTTTTAAATCTAAAAGAGATTGAAAGCCATCTAAAACAGTTTTTAATAAATCTAAATTTTAGCTGATTAATAAATGAGTTAAAATATGGAATAAATATGAATATGTGATAGTATATTAAGTATATAGGTCATCAATTTGATTGTTGATTTCATTTTTTTTTTTATAAATTTGATATTATTGATATCTTTAAAGGTGATTCAAATTTGTTAACAATATATTTTTGTTTTAAACAGAACTTACAAAAAAAAAAATTTATACGTTATCAACAATTAAAACGTACAAATTTTGCATTTATCGTTATTCAGAATTAAAATTTTTAATATATTTTATAATTTATAA